TCATGAACCCACCTTTGCTAGGCAACAAAAGCGCTATTGGCGCGAGCCACTAACTGAGTCTGTTAGTGTGCTGGACATTGGAGTGTCTGAGCTAGTTAACTCTGATGCCATTGAAAATAGTGAAATCAGCACGTATTCCGTTAAGTTACACTAGTAAAAATAGTGAATCACTAAATTCTGGAAGCATTCATGGTCTAAAGCCGAGTCATCCTGGGTGTGATCCCTGTGACGCGCGTGGAGTGGCACGTAAGCATCCACAGAGTGAGGTAGGGCATGATGGCACCCCACTAAATGTCGGTAATGACATTGTTGGCGATTCGCCAAGGCATCAAGAGCTATGCTCAACATATGCGCGTGAAGTGGCACGTAAACATCTACAAAGTGAAGTCGGCCGTGATGGCAGCCCACTAAATGCCGGTGATGAAATTGTTGGGGGTGGGTGATTCGCCAAGGCATCAAGAGCTATGCTCAACAGATGCGAATATAGTAGATAACTGTCCACAGAGTGAGGTCGGCCGTGAGGGCACCACACTTAATGTCGGTAATGACATTGGCTCTCTGAGAGAGCACTTTGAGGTTAAACAAAATCTTCACCCCGTGGAACTGGATGTTCCTAACACGTTGAAGTGTTCAGTCACTGCACAGAGACGACAGCGACGCTAGATGGCGGATGTGAAAATAAAGGCTTCTGCCAGAAGGACACTATTGAACAGTTGTACACATTAGTCAATGGGGTGTCAGATGCTAGTGATGAGAAGTCGGCCTCGAGGCCCTCTCATCGATAGCGCTCTGCTAGAGCTAGACGAAATTTCTGTAGACGAATTTCATCAAGCCTTATAGGCTGGTGCTTTGTCCGACATGGTGGTCCGTAGACCTGATCTTGAGTTGAACTCGTCATCCCTTATAGATGAGACAGTTCATGAGGACATTAAAGTTGCACTCAGTGCTCGCAGTGGATATGAATTTTTAAGATATCCTTCGGATCCCTTCTATCCTTTGGTAAAGGAATTTCAGGCGTGGTGTGTCATGATCCACCATCCACTCTACCTCCCGACAGAGGTGTGCGTCATAAAATTGACCTGGTCCCTGGGGACCAAATATTGTGTTGCAAGGCAACGGCAGTTGCCAAAGGAACAGTATGGCGTCATTGACGAGTTCTTTCGTGCAAAGCACGCGGCAGGCATGGTGCGGGAGAGCGAATCTCCACACTCGACACCAACATTTTGTGTCAGAAACCCAATGGAAAGTGGCATATTGTTCACGCTTACAAAAAGCTCAATGCAACCACTACACCTGCGCAGACACCTATTCCAAGGAAGGACGTTCTTCAGAACGCTATGGTGGGTTGCACCATGTTCAGCGCACTCGAATTAGTCGATGGCTATTACCAGCTGCTCATGCGAGCGAGTAAATCCCGCTCACAGCGGTTAGCATGCCGAGTGGCATGCTTTAGGAGTGGCTTGTTATGCCTCAGGGACTTTCTAATTCTCCCGCAACCTTTAATAGTCTCGTGACGCAGTTGTTCCGTCCTCATAGAGGATATGCACAAAGCCATTTTGATGACATTTTTGTCCGTAGCCGTGCTGAACAAGGAAGATCAGATGTGAGAAATTACACTAATCATTTACGAGCAGTGCTCGGGTGCATGCGCACCAACAAGTTGTGTGCAAATGCATCTGAATGCATTTTTGGTGCTGAGGGAATCCCTTTTCTAGGGTGCTTCATTGGAAAGCGCGGCCTTCGAGAGTATCCCGCTAGAATAAAATCCATTGTGGATTGGCCTGTTCCTTCTGACCCAAAGACTTGCGTAAATGGCCTGTTCAGCCAATGACTTACACAAGTATAGTGCAAACTATGCTGACATATCAAGGCCATTAGCCAACCTCCTTAAAAAGGACGCGGTTAGGTGTTGGGACTCGGTTCAGGCACAAGCTTTTCAAGCTGTTAAGGAGAGTCTCCTTCATGCTCCAATTTTGGCTTTGCCTGACCCGGAGCGACCTTTCACTGTCGTCTGTGACGCATCGGATTTTGCCACTGGCAGTGCATTGTTGCAAACTGATGTCGATGGACATGAACGCGTCATTGCGTATGAGTCTCGCAAGCTAATAGATGATGATAAAAAATATCCAGTTCATGTCGATGGACATGAACGCGTCATTGCGTATGAGTCTCGCAAGTTCAAAGATGCTGAAAAGAATTATCCAGTAAGTTATACCCAGCAAAGAATGAAAGCCAACGGGCCATACGTTGCAAGAGATGAGGCGACTAGGTCGCAGTGCGCAACGACGCATGATCCGCGTAGATTACAAACGGCTTGGAGCCAAGTAGATGTACTCTAAAATTGACAAGAGCATACAATAGAAGTTACTTGCAATTCAGCATGCTCTTGTCAATTTCAGAGTACATCTAATTGGCCCCAAGCCATTTGTAATCTACACGGACCATGCGTCGTTGCGCACTTCGACCCAGTCGCCTCATCTCTCGCAATGTATGGCCCGTTGGCTTTCATTCTTTGCCGAATATAACTTCGAGGTAAAGTATGAACCAGGGAATCAAAATGCTTTGACCGATGCGTTATCACGCAGGCCGGATTTTGATCTTGCTCATGTTACGACTCTGTCGTCTCCTATCCCTAATTTAATCCGTGCGGCTCTGCCAAGGATGATCCGTGTGTCGCGTTGTTAGGCGCACTCTGTTGTGACAAGTTTAAAGACTCGGACATTAAATTGTTGGAACGATCGCGTGCTGGGCTACATCGGTTTTCTTTCGATCATGGCCTCTTGTGTTATATCACGGATGCGGCGGATACGCCGCGCATCGTCGTACCTCATGATTAGTAATTGAAGTATCGTATCATCTTCGGGCGCATGATACAGCTTTGAGCGGTCATCTCGGTCGAGAGAAGACCTATGGCTCGGTCAACCAACACTATTGGTGGCCCAAATTATATAAATGGGTGAGCACATATGTGCGTGCGTGTGAAACGAGTCAACGGGTCAAACCCTCCTCTCATGCGGCTGCGCCTTTGGCGAGTTTGCCTATACCCACGGGTTGTTGGGAATCCATCAGTATGGACTTTGTGTGTGGCTTGTCAACCGATTTGGACGACAACACTGGTATCGTGGTCTTTGTTGACCGTTTGAGTAAGATGACTCATTTAGCGGCTGTGCCGGCTTCGATTGATGGTGAACGTACAGCACAGCTGTTTATCGATCGCGTGTTTCGTCAACACAGTTTTCCTTTGGCAATTGTTTCAGATCGCGATCCTCGCTTTACAGGGAAGTTTTGGAAGTCCATCTTCAAGGTGCTGGGCACCAGATTAGACGTGTTTACCGCGGAATATCCGCAGACCGTTGGACAAACTGAACGCGTTAAATGTTTCATTGGTGACATTTGCGCAGCGTTTGCGCAGATACGTTTAGGCGTTGGAGATCCATACTTCCGGTGGTCGAATTTGCCATGAACAATTCATTTCATGCCTCTACTAGCTACACCCCATTCTATGTGAACGGCCTCACCCATACGCGCGTCCCATTGACGCTACCACTCCGTGGTTCCAAGCTTGGTGGGGAGGGATTGCCGATCAGCTTGCTGATGTCAGCCCTGCCACTGTTCAGAAACAGATTGGTGAGCTCCTTGTAACAAGGTTGAATGTCTTACGACATGTGCGAGATGCAATGGCTGATAGCCAAGAAGAACAAAAGGAAAAAACAGATGCCAAAGGCAGAAATTGCTTTGAATGTTATTAAGTCGGAGCCCAAGTCTTGTTAAACGCTCGAAATCTACCTACAAATGTAGTGGCATCTGGTTGTAAAATGAAGTTGCGTCCGCGCTTCATTGGACCTTTTACGGTCGTTGCCAAGAAGAGCCTTGCGTGTACGCTCAACTTACCGCGCAAATTGCGTACACATCCCATCTTTTGTGTCGGCCTGCTAAAGCCATACCGGGACCCGTCCCATGTTGACTTGAAGGCGCTTGCGCCGCGTACATTGGCGTTGCCACAGGATGTTGCATTCGAATTAAGAGGTCAAGTTGAGCCTCGACACGAGCCTGACGTGACTCTATCATCTGAAGACGGGCGCGATCGCCTTCCAAAGTCGCCATACGAGATCGGGCTTCGCCCAGGGTGTTCTGAGTCTGACCATAAGTCTCACGGAGATCCTCCAATTTCTTCACCAACTCATCATGGCTTTCAGCCGATACTCCGAACGCCACCGGCGTTGCTTGATAAGCAAGGGAACTTACAGCTTCATGTGGAGCGGTTAATTGAACGACGTCGTCGTCATGGTCACTACCAATATCTGGTGAAGTGGCGTGGATGCCTCTAGTCTGAAAACTCATGGGAGTATGAGATTCCTCTTCGGCAAGATTGCCCATACGCCGTTGACGTTTTGAGCGGCACGGCCAAGCTCGTCTTGACGAGCGTCACATTTCTCACTCGTCTTAGTGAGAGCGAGCGAGTTCGTGTCAAAAGATTGACGTGAACTCGTGGCTGCAGAGGCAGCCGAAGCATAGTGGGAGCGTGATTGTCCCCGCAGACGGCCTCTGGCCTTTAACTTCGCGAAGTCATCGCGAAGCTTTCGCTTCAGACGAACGTCTTCCACACTGGCACTTTCGAGTAGCGCGTGCATGCTACTGAGGCGTTAAACGCCATGCACCCAGCGGATGAACATATTGTCCTCCGCAATTTCGTCCCCATCTTCGGATATAATGATGGGTATACCCCTTATTTGTAGGACCGGCGTTCCTTGGGCCTACTTTTGCAGCCGTTCTCCGTATTGACTTAAATACAGCACAGTAGGTTCCAAGTACCTCTCTCGAAGAGCCTTGCGGCATTCGATTTCAGTGGTCGTTTTCGCCTCGGGGCTGGTGACCCATGTTGCCAGAGTATGGCTTGACGCATGACGAATTAGTTCTTCCACGCCAGGTGGAGTGAACGTATATTCACTGTGTCGTTGCAACTTTGTCTGAATTTCTGACTTGCGCCGTGCGCTTGCCGCTTAATAGAGCATGCGTTGTTGCTCCTCATCAAGCGGGTTAGTGATAATGGATGTATCCATGTGGAACATTGCTCCCAGCGCTGTTAGCGCAGTCGCGGCACTACGTTCGGGGAACGGATTAGGTGCCAGATGGGGAATTTCCCCATACACAGGCGTGTTGAGTTTGGATTGCTCCTCCCCCTCGACTTTGGTATCAGTACCACTGTCAAAGTCCATGTCCTCGACACCTAGGAATTCGGCTAGAGCCTTAATTTCCAGGAGGCGTCCATGTTGGTCCATGTGAGTGTGTCACTTTTGTAATAAGTCTCAATAAGAGAATGAGTCGAGTGACGTTTGTGGTAACGTCAGTCTGGTGGGTAGGTTCATTTCCACCCAGGGAAGTTTCACATGTTGTTCTCAACTGCCCAGATACCTGCTATCAGTACCTTACAGGATTCGCGTCTCGGTAACGTACCTTTTGCACACTTGCTTCACCTTATCTACCGGCTGCGTCACCTTTGGAACCAGTCGGTGGTGCGGTTTAGATTCGTACCTAGACGGGTGCGCTGCACTCACCAGGGCTTGAACCCGCACCTTCCGTCAGAACAGCCGTGGCTTAACCACAGCACCGCCCTGATAGCTGACATCAGTCTGGTGGGGGAGGGTAACTGGTTTACACTAGCCTTTGGCTAAATCGGTCAGAGAACTCCCATAAATGATGTTGATGAATGTGTGTAACCTTAGGTTTTATATCAGCAAGAGAGTAGCGATTGATCGATATTCTCAGGTTTACGGTACTTACCGTGTACGTACTTTGTACCGTCATCATTTGATGACTGAGTGATGTGCCGACCATCCATTTAGTTTGAATACCAGTATTCGTATTGGTTCCAGTTTAGTATAAGATAGGGTACTGAAAGTAGGATTTTCCTTGATATAAAATCCAAATAAAGTTCAGTTCTCATTTTAAGCAGAAGTCCCTAGACTATTGGTAATGGTGTTGGTTACTGATACTAATGACCATATGTCATGGACGACACTGTGTGATAGTGTGTAACGATGGGATCGACTCATCGTTTTGTTACTAATATTATAGAGTCGATATCGATAGGCTTAGAGTAGTACAACGTGACGAACTAAGGACCTAGCTAGATGATAATTCACTTTCCATTTTACCTTCTTCTAAGCTCTCCCACCTCAACTCGCTCTTGGCTGTTGCCAAAAGTCAAAAGGTTATGAGCCCAACTACGCCGGATGCGGGCGACATACTCCGCGAAGATAACTACTTCGTGTGGGAGTTCAACGCAAGGATGAGGCTGGCAAAGAAGGGATTGCTAGAGCACCTAGACGCTATGAAGGCCCCAGAAGAAGGAGACGCAAGCGCGTCAACTTGGAAAGTCAACGACATGAAGGCCTTCGCGATTGTGTCCACAATGATCAGCACAAATCTTTAGTCAATGGTGCGCACGGCAGAGACAACGGCAAAAGCATGGGACATACTGAAGACTTTCTTCCTGCGGCAAAGTATGCACAATCGTGTGCAGTTGCGGCGGCAACTACATGAGTTCAAGTTGGCCAAGGGAGGAAGCATCATGGATCACTTCCTGAGATTTGACGAGCTGTGCATGACTATGCAAGCTGTGGGACAAGAGATCTCACAGGATGAGCATTTGGTCATCCTATTGGGTAGTCTAACGAGAGACTATGACCCTATCGTCAAGATAATTGAGAACATGCCCGGAATGACACTGTTTCACGCTAAGGAAATGCTGAGACGGGAGTACGATGGAATGGCGAGGACAGAACACCAAGAAATCGCACTGAAAAGTACGCACACTTCCAAGTACAAGAAAGGTCCGCGCAGACATATGGGGAGATCAAGTTCAAGAGGTGAAAAGTTTTCGGGAAGGTGTTACCGATGTAACAAATATGGGCACAAGCGTCAAGATTGCAAGGCTGAACAAGTGGAGACAGAGCGATCTGGAGAAGAGAGAGCATTTACTGCGTCAAGTCGGACGTCAGCTGGATGGTTATTGGACAGTGGGGCAAGCAGCCACATGTGTCCCGACAGAAATGAGTTTTCGAATTTAAACTCACTGACGGACCCGATCATGATCACCATAGCAGACGGCAGCGAAGTGGAAGCGCAAGGTGTTGGGACAGTGCGCGTGCAACTCAAGACTGGTGAAGTGATCAGGATCGAAGAAACGCTATGGGTGCCGGGCCTAGACCGAAGGCTACTGTCAATATCGGCATTGTCAAAGAGGGGTCTACAGGTGATCTTCTCAGATCTGAGCTGTCAGATCAGAAGTAACACGGAAGTCGTTGCCCAAATACCAAGACGAAACAAGATGTACGTCTTAGAGTGCAGTCCGGCTGAGGTAGCCAACGTTTGCGGAGAGACATCTCAAGAGCAAGAATCAGGTGACGGATCAGGAGCGGCTGATCTACAAGTGTGGCATGCAAGATTAGGTCACCTGTCAACGAAGATGCTCAAGGGTATGGCAGGTTGCGTCAATGGATTAAAGATCAAGAAGAATCAAGGCGTTGAAGATGATATCGAGATCTGCGAAGGGTGCATCATGGGTAAAGCAACCGTCAAGACGTTTCCGAAGTCACCATACGGACACGTGAAAACCAAGGAGGTGTTGCAGTTGGTCCACAGTGATGTCATGGGACCTATGGAATCGAAGTCTCGAGGAGGATCAAGATTTGTCGTGACTTTTATTGATGATTATTCGAGATATATAGTCGCATACTATATTGAGAACAAGTCGGAAGTGACGGATCGCTTTATAGAGTATAAGGCACTTATGGAGAATCAACTGTCCAAGAAGATCAAGTGTATCAGGACGGACAACGGGATGGAATACGTCAACAGACGTTTCTCCGGTGTATGTCGAAAATCTGGTATCATGCATCAGACGACGGTACCCTATTCGCCACAACAGAATGGGCTGGCCGAACGCATGAACAGGACACTGACAGAGCGGGCCAGAGCAATGCTCAGCCATATGCAAGTGGATAAAATTTGGTGGGCTGAGGCGATGAACACGGCAGTCTATGTGACAAACCGAGTTCCATGTGCTAGTCACCCGACTAAAACTCCATTTGAGTTCATCTTCGGGAAGAAGCCTGACCTCTCCGAGATGTGTGTATTTGGATCAAAGGGGTATGCACATGTCGACAAGTCGAACAGGACCAAGATGACCAAGAAGGCGATTCGATGTATTTTTCTAGGTTACTCGGATCAAATCAAGGGGCTACGAATATGGGATGAAGATGCCAAGAGGGTGACGCACACGAGATCGGCTAAATTCGATGAGAGACCACCACTTCAGTACGTGCAACGTTACAGCAGATCAAGTGACCAAGAGTTTCGCGCTGTTCATGACGAAGACACTGTTTCTATCGATTTAGAACAGCCACGAGTCACGAAAGACATGGACATAGCAATGGAGGACAGTCACAGTGTTCAAGAAGAGAGTCACATGCAAGACAGGCGTACAACAACGATGGCTCTACCATCAAGATGCAGTAGCAAGATGCCTGAACACGTGGGTTCCAATGCTGACGATCCAATGTTTGAAATTGATGATGTGACGATGATTGAAGAAGATCAAGAATCGGCTGAAGACGTGTCAAGACAAGGACAGATGGTGATACGACCAAGTCGACAGACAAGTATTCAAGCATCGCAAGAAACCGCGATGGTTCCACTAGAATCGGTTCAACATGGACAATCTCAAGCGTTAATACCAGTGAATGGTGCTGATGAGGACTTTTATGACGGCTCAGAAGTGTGTCAAGAAAAAGGCACAAAGAAACTACGTATTGGGTATGAGCAAGCATGTGCAGCGTTCGAGACCCCAACGACATACGAAGAAGCTCTTAAGTCACCTCGTCGTGATAATTGGTACAAGGCCATTCAAGCTGAGCTCAAGGCATTAGAGGAAAAGGACACCTGGACTGTTCAAACACAGCGTCCAAACCAGAAAGTGATTGGAACCAAGTGGGTGTTCGCACTCAAACGAAACGAGCTGGGTGAGATTATTCGATACAAGGCACGTCTTGTAGCACTTGGCTACAGGCAGACGTATGGAGTTGACTACATGGAGACATATTCACCTGTGGCAAACCTCAACTCAATACGGGTGTTTTTGGCGGTGTGCTGTCAAAAGGGGATGTTGATTCATCAATATGATGTCGACACTGCTTTTCTGTATGACGTTTTGGAAGAAGAGGTATACGTATACCCTCCTCTGGGTGTTCGTGCAGAACATAATCAAGTGCTTAAGCTGAATCGCAGTCTGTATGGGCTGAAACAAGCGGCCGCTACATGGTACAAGACAATTTCGTGTGTGTTTGTGGAGATGGGGTTCTCTTCATGCGTGGCAGACTCATGCATTTTCGTCAAAGAGACCAAGGGCTCGTGGATTTACGCTGCATTATATGTGGACGACCTTCTAATTGGGGCTGAATCTACTGGAGTGATGGAAGATGTGGCAGCTCAACTATCAAGTCGTTTCCAGTTGAAGATACTAGGGGGTGTTCGATACGTTCTTGGAATCGAAGTCAAGTACCTGCGCAACAATCGACGTCTGAAGATCAGTCAAGGATCGTGTATATCAAGAATGGTCGAGAAATTTAATCAAGTTGATGCGAAAGCAGTGTCAAATCCAAGTGTTGAAGGGCAAGCGATGGTCAAGATGGACAAAGCTGACACAAGAATGAAGAATCGACCGTATCGATCGTTAGTGGGGTCGTTGTTGTATGTGGCAACAGGCACACGACCAGATATTGCGTATACAGTATGTCAGCTGAGTCGTCATTTGGAATTTCCACATGAAGAGCACTGGAATGCAGCGATTCGAGTGTTGCGATATCTGAAGACGACGCAGAGCAAAGGAATTTGTTATGAAGGAGTTTCAGGCAATCTTCAGCTGAGCGCGTACACCGATGCAGACTGGGCAAGTAACAAGTGGAATCGCAGATCGATTTCGGGAGTTTTTGTCATGATTAATGGCGCACCTGTGATTTTCAAGTCGAAGATGCAGCAGAGCGTGGCACTGAGCACGGCAGAAGCAGAGTATATGGCTCTTTCTTTATGTGTGCAGGAGGTTCTGTGGACAAGAAGTCTACTCAAGGAGATGCAAGTGCAGATTAACTATGCTGTCAAGATTCACGAAGACAACCAGAGTGCAATCGCTATCGCTAAGAACGACGGCTATCAAAGTCGAGCGAAACATATCGACATCAGATACCATTTTGTGCGCGAACAGGTGAAAGACAAGATTATC